TGTTGAAAGTCTTGCAAAAACGTTTCATGAGATCTCGCAAGACGGGACAGAACAAGAATGTCACCTCGGAAACCAAATAGTCTTCATTGAAAACCTCGACAAGTAGCAATTGAATGTTATCGAAAAGGTAGAAATATCACTTTTATTTTGTGAAAAACCTGTCATAGAAATCCAGCTAGTGACTTTGCAATCACCTGCTGATGAAGCAGCATCAGGAGCAACTGGGGGTTCAGTGTCTTGTTCGTAGACACTTCGACATGGTCACAAGGGCCGGATCAAACCTACGTCTGATTTGGGAGACGACCACTCTAGCACTGAGCCATTCTGCCCTGGCAGAGGCAATTAAGGTATCAAGTATGCAACACGGTATGTTAGGGGTCCTTATTTTCACAAGACCAATTGTCATTAGGGGCAGTTAAATGGAAAAGAAAAAGATTTTAAAGAGGTTTCTGTAAGCTTAAACTTGTATAGAAAGTACTGTCTTTCCATGCAGTGTCATAAAACAATCTATGCCATCATTTTAACAGCAATAACTCATTTCCCAAAAGAATATCATTTTGTATTTACCGTACTTGTGACAAGAACATGGAAGGACATTGGTACTTTACACACTAAAGGATTCCATACCAGTAAGATTCAAATATTTGTTCCTGCGTTCACTCTACATTGTTTGCTGACAAGGACAGCATTATCTGGTCGAGGTTGCTGTCAAGGACAACAGTCTCTTGTTTAAGTCAGTTAAGGCAATGGAAAGAAGCGTAATTGAGCAGTTTCTGAGATACTTTGGCGTCAATTGCAAAACAGTAGACGTTGATTTATAAAATACAAATACACAGTAGGCATATGACTTCATCACGTCATTTAGTAAGAGAGTGTGCAGCATAGCCGCCGTGCGATGTTCCAATTACCAGCTCAGGAAGAGGACAGATGTCAGCGGTGTTGATGTACAGTCCCTCCACAACAATGAACTTGCGAGTTACTCGAGCCTTACGAGGGTTCTGCAACAAAAACAGCCAATCATGTTCATCAAATCTACATTATAGCAAATTACCGTATTTTCCGCACTACAAGGCGCACCTAAAAGCATTCAATTTTCTCAAAAGCCGACAGTGCGCCTTATAATCCGGTGCGCCTTTTATAGGGATCAATACTCTGATATCTTGGACGGGGTATTTTAAATGTTCTGTAAAGCGCTACGCTAAAGCAGTTGTAAAAGCTCCATATAAACTTGTATTGTATTGTATTGTATTCTCTTTAGCGTAGCTCCATCTAGTGGATGCATAACGCATCCGCAGCTACGATTGTAGCTTCTATTCTCCGTGCATGATAATCTATTTATTGATTTTAACTTGATAATTGATCATCAGAATCAATCACCATGTGACAACTTGGCTGGTCTTGGCTTATTCATTCAAGTATGCGCTAACAATGCCAAAGTGGTGAGACATCAGCGTGTTTCTACCTGAAACCCATGGCTAAAATACAATTTGGAGTCCATCAATCTACAATGGAAAGAATTATTCACTGGCAAAAGCAACCAGATGGTGCAATGCTCAGAATAAGAAAACCAAAGCACTAGCAACAGTATCTCTGACTCTGTAGGCTTCGTTTAACGTGGGTCTTTGAACAAGACAATCATCCAAAACACACAGCTAAAAACGCCCAAGAATGGCATGGAGAAAAATCTTGGACTATTCTGAAGTGGCTTTCTATAAGCCCTGATCTAAATCCTTTGGAACTGTGGAAGGGGGCCATCTGGAAAAAAAAGCACCCTTCAAACTTGAGACAACTAGAGACGTTTGCTCACAAGGAGTGGGCCAAATGAATGACTAGCCTTAACAGAGTTCTGACCTCAACTGGATAGAACATCTTTGGGATGAATTCAAGCGGGGATTGAGAGCCAGGCCTTCTCATCTATCATCAGTGTGTGAGCTCACATTAACACACCCCTGAACTTGTGGAAAGCCTTCCCAGAACAGCTGAAGTTGTTTTCGCTGCTAAGGGTGAATTGGCATCCTTTTCAACTAAGAATTAATTTTTCTTTTACCTCAAACTCACCACGAAAGTCCGATACAAATATTCCCATAGCCTAGTTCACCAACCTGCTGGTCTTCCAACTCTTGCTCCTGGAGAAGCCTCTCCAAGTCATGCATGTCATTGTGCTTGAAGTATTTTATGAAGCTGCGTGAAGCTTGGAGGCCTTTTTGGATGGAGAAGCAGGCTGCCTCATCCCTGAATACAAAATACAATGAAATTAAAGCAAGGCTTTATGTCTCAGTTTTAGGGCTTTGTCCTAAAAAGCAGACATTATATTGCCGACATTGCCAAAGACACTGTGGGATATTTTTTTGCACAAATAGATCATTTAAGAGCTCCCCTTAATTTATTTCATATTGAGTGTAATGCGCTGTAAATGGTGCCCAACCCACATGGGCTTATATGACACAAAAAGAATTTTTAAGTTCTAGAGTTTGAGTTTTGTCATTTCTCCCATCTCTTCCCAAAACTGACATCAATCTCAAATAGGTTTGATAATTCTTTTCCGAGTTAACCTTAAGTGAGGGAAAACTACTGAAGCAGATTGTTCCATATTATTAAGAGTCACGGTTTTCATGTATAACAGGGAAAAAAGAGGAAAAGAAGGCTTTCTGCTGTTGAAAAGCATTAAATCAGCATCTAAACTCAGTCCTCAAGGGCCTCAGTCCTGCTTGCGTGTCTACGCATGCACTTGTGCAGCTGAACACAAATGCACAATTGTTTCAGATTGATATTTGCGTAAAGTTTAGAAAACAATATGTCATTTTCATTTCACTTTACAATTCTGTGCGACTTTGTGATCGTCTGTTGCATAAAATCTCAAAATACTGTAAATTCTAGTTTGTGATTCAAAGGTAAAATACTTTATCAAGGCACTGTGGATTTGTTTCTTGACAACAAACAACAAAATATCTGTGCAGCTCAGTACCGAACTCATAGAATATAATCTTAACAATAAAATTGAAGCAGATTATTGTATGTAGTCCTCGAGAGTGGAGTTAAGATATTTGAAACATATAGACAGAAAAACCATGCACAAATGACGACGAACTAATGACAAACTACCAAAACCATTTCCAGAAGGACGTTTGCATCGCTATTGAGAAATCGTCCCTGGAAGTTAATAAACCGGAGCGATTTCAGTCAACTAGATTGATACAATAACCTCTGAAAGTTGAAACCGGGTTGTTTGAAAACAGTGGCTGGGAGCTCACTTCAATTTCACAAGGACAACCATAGCACACAAATGGGCATCTTACACTTTGCTGGGCTTTAGAACACAATAACAAAAGAATTAGCAAGAAAAAATATATATATATCACGTACCAAATGTTCCATAGAATCCTCTAGGACCACATGTTCCGACTCCATATTTCTTCAAGGATGACAGTGCCTTTTGCTGCAATAATAAAATGTCATGTAATTAGACATGATTAACTGAACGTTATTTTACCCAACAGAAAACTTGTGCTCCAATCTTGAGTATGACAAGAATGTAGTTTGACAAGGATGAACGTAGTTGAAACACTGACCTTGACTCGTTCATTGTCCAGGAGACCCAGGAAGTTAAATGATGCAAAGTTAATGCACTCTTTTCCATTGATTATGATTTTGTGGCTGGGAGGTCTGTCATTCAAGATGTGGAATAAAATATGACAAGAAAATATCAAAAAAGAGATAATTTACATGTGGTTAAAAACAAAACAAAACAAAAAACCCAAGATGAAAAACATATTGCAATTGCAGTATCATGTTATCGCAGCATACTCAACATTCGAAATCAATCATCCACTAAATCAAAACACAAATGGAATGAAACAGACATACAATTTGAAAATCTACCAAAAGTCGGAGGGAGAAACATGGCTTTAAAGTTTGGACTTCAAATGAACCTTGGTACAGAGCATCAAAGGGTTGCCTCAGGCAAAATTATTTATTAGTTATTTATGTGAGGCTATGATCATTTCGCCCAACTAAAAAGGGGAAAACCTTTATCCTGATATGAAGTGATATGAAATCACGGCATTGTGTGCAAAGAGCCCAATTACAAAGAATAGAATCGCTTATAGCATCAAGTCTCAGCTGGCTAATTTTTTACCCTGTGACAACATCGTAGGTAATGTAGGGTGAATCTTTGGAAATCGTAGGAGCAAGAGGTTCAGGCTGCCACTCCTCAATAAGATCTTCCTTTTCCTGTTAAGAGCAACAAAGAATGAACCCAAAGTTCAAAGAAGAGTAGTCGAGTGACATGTGATTGCACGCATACACATGTACACGCATGTGTTACCTTTTCAGTCAGTTTATTCGTCTCATGGAGCCTGTACGTTTTAGAGAAGAGAAGCCTGATTATCCATAAAATGAGGATGCCCTCCAAAATGAGGTGATAAGATGGAGCCTGAGGAAGACAGTTCAAGATTATTTTGCAGAACTTTTCGCATGTCGATTTACTGATTTCAGAGTAGCTATTCAATACAATCGGGAAAATGGGGCAGTTACTGCCAATTAGCTATCACAACAGTTTTCTACAACTGGCTGAGGTGCCACTGAACGAGGCACATCTGTATCAATTGCTTCCTGGTTGTAAAGGCAGAATTTAATAGAGCTTAGCAATAGCTTGTTTGATGTATTTTTAAAATATGTTTCACATAAAAAAATAAAAATAAAAAAAACCTGCAAGTTTATTCAGGCATTCATTCAGATTGGGACTTATTTATTAGATGCTAGCATACTGTATTTGTGCAGTCCTTGAGTATTTTTGACACCACAGACATATTGGGTGTGGCAAAGTGAAGCAATTTTGTGAATGTCTCATTTGGTTGCTCCTTGGAGATATATCATGCCACAACTCATTGGATTAATATATTGCTTTTGATTGTGTTCTCATTCTAAATTGATTTTATGAATATTATCTGCCAATTTATGGATAATACAATGGCCACATCCAATATGTGATACGTCAGCGCATCTGACGTATCACATTGAAGGGCCACCTGGCTCAAGGCGGTGTCTGTAGCAGAAATGAAAAGAAAAAAGGGGGAGAGGGGGAAAATGATATCTCTGTTTGATATAACTGTTTGATATCAAAAGGGCTTGTGGCTCCCATGGTTTCTTTCATGAAACAGGTTCAAATGGCTCTTTAGTTTTCGACGCCAATGTAATATGTCCCTCTTCACTTGCCATAGTGTGATGTGCCAGCAACAGTCTAAACACATAATGAAGGAATCTAAACGTCACCTGATGCCAAAAACTGAAAAATAGTCATCAACATATGTTGACATCTCTATTTAGAGTATGCCCACATTAATATCTGAAAATATTACATCACCGCAATATTTCTGATTATATGGACAAAAAGTGTTTTTCTTTCCATAGAGGAGTTCACGAAATAAGCTTATGTTGCCTCTTGTGGAAAAAAAAATAGATGACATTGAAGAGATCATTGTGATATTTTCAGAGATGGATGTGGGCATAAGTACAGATGTCAACATACACTTGGGTGATGATGGATTGCAGTTTTGTGATATTAAGTGGTGTAAGATTGTTGACGATTATGTTTTGTCCCATGTTCATTCGCAGTGTCTTGTGCTCTTAGCTACAAATATGGACGTGTCTTGCTCAGAGACACCGACATGACAGCAACGGCCGGGGATCAAAACATCAAACTCCAGGTTGAGAAACGACCAATCCACCACCGAGCCATGCCATCCTGACAAAATCACATTATTTCTTTATACTTTTGATGTCTTAGTGGTAAACTTTGACAAAACAAAAATAGCAACTATCATTCATAATAAAATTGGGGGGGGGGGGCGTTCATTTTTAGAGATATGTGCCTCAAGTCGGTGGCACAAACGTCTTGGTGGGCAGGCAAAGCCACCTATGGCCGGCCCGTGGGGACGGGTGTGATACGATCTACCTTTGCACCTCTGTCGGTGCACATCCCTGGTTTTGGGCCTCGGGACGTAATTTGACTAGGACCAATGATAAGTGAGGAACAACAGTCACGCGTCTTACAATTTAAAAACAAATGAAAAAATAAGCTAAAAACTCGTACACAATGCTCCATTTTAGGATACATAATACGTGTGTTTACCCTTCGTCTCTCCAGTATATTGCTACAATAAATGAATTATATCCACACAAACTGTAAAGCGGAACAATTTCCGCATCGCGTTAAATTACGTTTTGACCGACAATAATTTCACGCATTTAACTACATTCACACTGTTTCTAGCCACGTCCTTAGAAACATTTTTAAGCATTCGGCAATCTCCTTAGATTCACGTTCGGCGTTGACAGGTTCGTACACGACATAAAATCGCAAGAACCAACACGCGATTGGTTGAGACTGAGAGGACATCAAGACTTCAGGTACCTCTTGACTCCGGAAGTTAGCAACTATCATACGGCGGAACATTTTCTAAAAGTTAATATCATTAGGTTGGCAAGCACATGAATTATATACATTCCGTTCGGCAAAACGTGTGGCAGAGACAACAATACCTCGTACAACGCCTGTACCATTTCCACCAACACCCACTGCTGTCCAGACGCCATGTTTACGTCCCTCCCCTTCCTGCAACGTAATCCGTCAGTGAGAGAGCGAGAGAGAGTGTGTGTGTGTGTGTGTGAGAGAGAGAGAGAGAGAGAGAGAGAGAGAGAGAGAGAGAGAGAGAGAGAGAGAGAGAGAGGTTTGCGGATCGTTTAAATAACTAAATGTTGAAATATCAATTTACTAATTAAATATTGAAATAATTAAACAATTCGTGGCATTTGTTGAATTAAACATTCATTCTTTTTTTTTTTGCCACTCCCCACATACAGCAACGCTTCAGCCACGCACCTTTTCTGGAACACAAAAGTATCTCTCACAATGACTCACACAATATTTACTCATTTTTTTATGACAGCTGAAGCGAGTTTTAAGGGCTCTTCTGAAAGTCAAATCTCCTCACCTTTAGCCACTTTCCTTAACCTGCGTTGGATGACCTCATCCATTGTTCAAAAATAATAATATTTACTGAATAAGTCAAATTACAAATCACAGAAAGCAAACCAAACACGTTATGAATACATATACAGTATAAAGACCTAGGGGATGTCAAAAATTCTAAATAAACACAAAGCACAATCTTAACTGCTTTCTTGTTTTTGGAGTCCAAAGTAGAATTCAAGTACTGTTTGGTTTCTGCCTCAAAAATTAAGAAAATTGCTTTTGAATGACTAAATTTAGATTTGCAGATATGGAAGTTAGCTAGAATATCATAAAATGTTTAATGAACACTTTTTTTTTCCCGTCATTTTTGAAGAAGCCAAACAGTATATTTTTCCAGTGAAGAGTAAAGTCAGAGTCAACATAATCAATCATTAGTCGGGATATATCTTTCCAAAATTTGTTGGTATACGGACATTGCCAGAACAAGTGAATCATCGTTTCAGGGGACATTCCACGAAACAAACAATCGACACAGATGTCTTTCTTGAACTTAAGATAATGCTTGGTAGGATAGTACCTGTGTATAATTAAGAAGAAAAAAAAAACTTACTTTATTTGTCAGAAGATATTTGCATGGAAGAGACCAGATTTTTTTTTCCATAGTGTAAATTATCAACAACACCAAATCTCCAATCAAACCGCAATTTACCGCCTACTCGCCTGCCTGTCTAAAATCTCTGAATGCTTTTCCATCGCTCTCGATCAGGAGTTGCCAACCAGTCAATCGTGGTCAACCGCTAGTTCGCGACTGGTCCCAAGTCAACCACAAGGGATGTTAAGGGGGATAAAAAGATTTGTGTCTCTGTGTGTGTTATTAATATTAGATATTTTTTGTGAAAGTGGATTGTGCACCCTAAGCATTGACATCAGTTTCACGTTAACAAAAGAAAAAAAAAGTGTTTCCGAAATATAATTAAAGAACTAGGGCACCTTCAATCTACGGTGGCGCATGATCTGTCGCTCAGCAATTGCAGCAAGTGATCAGAGGTGTTGGGAAACTTTGTTTGCTCTGCAATGCACCAATGGCATTGTTAAAGAATGGGAATCCAGAGCTGTCCTGCCTGTTTTCCATCCCTTCTGGCTGCAACACACCTGATTTAAATGATCAGCTCCTCAGCCAGCTCTGAAGCAGCATTTGGACGATCCTGATTAGTTTGGAGACCCCTGACGTAAACGAGTCTAAATATCTTTACGAACCTATATTCGCAATGGAAAGGCGAAGTTGCCTACTGGTATGATCAACCGCATGGCATTGTGGGATGTTACTATTTTGAGCACTCCTCTATTGTTGTTTACTTCAGATGCACATTTTCTCAGTTTTATGGTCATAAGTAGCCACACAGTCACACATGCCTCTTTTGGAGTGCATACTGTCGGCTCTCCCCTGCCCAGACACGTCCACACACACGCACAACTGCACACACACACTACGGTTGAAGTGCAATTTAAGTCCCATAAAACATCAAGAGGATCTGGCTGCAGACCTCCACTGTAAGGTCGCTTCCAGTGCAGGCTCCACGGTCAGGACGCTTTCACTGTGCGGATGAGAAATGCGTGAGGTTCATTACAAACTAAAATTGTGTCGGCATTTCCTGTGGAATTGGTTTTTGTGCTAGTGGATTAATTAAATCACATTATAATAGCTTTATTTATGTAATAAACTTTTGTTTTGTTGTGAAGCACACATTTACATGGTTAGCTTATCTTGCACGCTAATTCTTTTTATCCAGACAACCGAAGCATTTGCCTATCTTTCCACACTTAGTCACAAACATAAAAATACTAAAAAGCCTACACTTTATCAACAAACTTGGTCAACAGGGAGTTTCTTCATTCAGTTATTTTGGTGAATAGAGAAGATTTTTTTTTCTTTTACACTCTGCCGGTATTGTAATTTTAAATATAAAAGTCACAGAATATTCTCCCAGTTTTTTTTTTTTTTTTTGGGGGGGGTTTTTTTTTTTTTGTGTTGGTGATTGTTTTTTTTTTTTCCTGTCAACAGATGATTCACCCAAGCAACCTGAAGGAGTACGCTGACTTAATACAAGTTCACAGAAAGTCGTTCTCCTTTTCTGATGAATCTCCTTTGAAGAATGCCAAAAATAACAAATGCCATTGTTGTTTGTCATTATTGCTCACATTATAAAGATCTTGAGGGACACACTGAATGAGTCGCTTACACATTTGCCTCACAGTACAGAGGTCCTGGGTTCGAATCCGAGCTCCGGCCTTCCTGTGTGGAGTTTGCCTGTTCTCCCCGTGCCTGGGTGGATTTTTTTCCAGGTACTCTGGGGTTTCCTCCCATGTGAAAAACATGCAAAGTAGATTAAATCAACACTCGAGAATAGATTGTTCCCAAGTGTGATTGTGAATGTGAATGGTTGTTTGTCTATGTGTGCTTTGCGATAGGCTGGCAACCAGTTCAAGGTGTACCCCGCCTACCACACAAAGACAGCTGGAATAGGCTCGAGCATGCCTGTGACCCTCGTGAGGATACGCAGTTTGGATAATGGATGGATGGATAAAGGAAGATCTTGTTTTAGTAACAATCACAATGTTGGACAATGGCTGAATTTGCACATATTTTTATTGATATTTTTGCTCTGATTTAAAAAAAAAACCCAAACAAACAAAAAAAAACAAAGGTACAGAACATAAAATGAAGGGTGGATGGAATTTTGAAACACTTGAATGAAAAATTCCATTTAGTTGACAATGAACAGTGAGTTGAAATTGGTTTCATGTTTCTGTTCTCCTTTGCATGCTTTCGATATTAATTTTGAACACTTTGTAGAGAAGATAATTTAAAATATTATACTACTCCAATGAAAAGAAAATATACAGCGACCACAGTTCAAATCAATTTTATTCTTGAATTAATGTAAGCTATAAATGAAGTGTTGGTCACAGTCAGAAGAAGTGACTCATACATTTCAAGAGAAAGAAATGGCTGCTAGCGGTCCCTATTTAAACATTCCATTCCCCAGATACGGAATGTGTGGTAAATCCTAAGGAGATTTTATAGTGTACTTTCTATGCACGGTCAAATGCAAACATTTTCAACTGGATCTATTTGAAGCCTCCTGGATTTATTCACCACAAAGCTCAAACACCTGTGGCGAGGTTGTGAAAGCCAATAAAAGCCTGCAACAATGACTAGAACATGAAATGGAAATAGACACTGCCTCAATAGCTAGAAAAGTCATTTTTCTCTCGAGAGTCGCTTCCGCTTTATTACAAAACCCAGCTTAGCCATGTGTACCAGCACTATGGGCTGGGGTATATCGCTTGACCTGAGCTTGACAGCAAGAATCCGTCAACCAGCTACATGGCCAGGCAGACACTAGTATGTTCCCTGAGCTGCTCTGTGAAACGTACTGTGTGTATATATATTGCATTTTATACATATATACACATATGCACATACACATAATTTATACACATGTATATGCCCACACGTATATATTGCACCTGAATATACTGTACATACATACACATACTATACATACATACAGTACATACATACATTGCAATGTATATACTATGAAAGAAAAAGGAGCTTGAAATTTGAACTCTTATACTTGTACAACTACAATATGGAAAAAGATCAAATCTGAATAAATCTTGGCCGATCGTTGCTAATTATATCATTGGACTCACTGACACAACAATACCACTTTCATAACATCATACCATATTAAAAAAAAAAAAATCGATATTGACAAACACTTTTTGAATTGTTTTTAAATAGCTACTTTTAACTCATTCAGTACCAGCCAATTCTGGACCAAGTCTGAAAAGACGTTTAAAAACGTCTTTGGGAATGAATGAGTTAAAGATGCTAAAATAACATTGGGGGTAGAGGTAGACCCACAAAAGCATGAATCATCATTGAAATTGATTTTGAACAACGGGCCATCAACACTGTCTGTCCACAGTTTATAAAAACACAAGTCGAATCCAACTGTACAAAGTGAACCCACAAAATAATATGAACCCAAAATGGGTCTCATATTAAATTGGATTTAGCAATGCTCAAGTCCCACTTCCTTTTACAAATTGGATGACGGGTTGTTCACAAGGGCAACTGGTCTGCTTCTTTCTAATGTAGCTTTGAAGAAAAAAAAAAAAAAAACACTGTCGAGGTTCGTTGGAATCATTGTCCAAGAGAATACCCAAACCATTAGATGCTATTGCTGACTAGAAATGAGGTAAACTTGTATGGTGGCATGCACACAGGCAGGAATGTCAGGATAAAGTTCTATTATACACTCCTTCAATGTGTTTCTCCATCCACAGCTCTGCCAACTGCATTGTTGAAGCATATGTGCTTGCTTTCGACCCAAGGCACATTTTGAGTTGCTTCTGATCAAGACTCGAGTTGCAATGGACAGGATGATAAATATGTACAATTCCCGGCTCCTGACTTCGCAACACTTTTAAGCCGGAGTTAATAACTTTGATGTAAAGGTCTACATCTTCCAAGCCCCAGCCAAGAATTGAAGTGTCAAATCCACCAGCTTTCAACAGATCACTCTTGACGATACAGGCTATTCCAAAGCCATAGGTACGCCAAAAGCCACTTTTCTTGGTGAGAACAA